TGCACCCCCCCCCCCCCCCCCCCCCCCCCACTTATATTCAGCCTTTGCCCTGCACCAGCATGGGAACTTGGCTTGGTCAGATAAAAACCAAAGCACACATGTCCATGTCACGAAACTAAAGTATTCCGTAGTACCTGATGAGGAGGTTAAATCTATAGGGCAGCAGTTAGTTTTGCTGAAGTGTAAATACACCGTGCCCTAATTAGGCATTAGTGACAGGCTGTTGGCCACAAAAGTTAGAGTCTAGCCTACATCTAAACAGCTTATGAGTAATAGCCAAAAAGTACTGGCTACCTGAGCCACTCTGCTACTCCAGCCCAGCATGTTACTGACCTGCTGCTTGGGAAAGGCTTGACAAGTTACAGGTGTATCTGTGAAGGTCACAAGATCCCTGCTCTCCCTTGGTATATGCAGCATCCAGGTGCTCTGAAACAAATCTCTGTAGTGAGGAAAGTCAGGGCCTCTCTGCCCACCACCATGAATGCTGTCAGTAGTAACAGGCAAAGGCAGGATCACTGTGCAAGCAGAGACTCATAGACCTGAGCAGTGAAACTGCAGAGACTCACAGACCTGAGCAGTGAAACTGCAAAGGATCCTATGGGACTTGCTAGTGTTCACCAGAGGGGATGTGCTCAGAGACCTCTGAAAAGCAGGTGTTTTTCTTCGCCAAGAGGGCAAACAAACACATTTTCCATGCAGTCATTGAACATGTGCACACGCAGAGGATACAACACAAAGGAAACAAGCACCGACTGGTTCAAATGTAGAATTTTGTCCAGAGGCATGTGTAACACTTCCCTAGCTCCATCTGCTCTGATGTGTCTTGCCTGATAGCCATTTGTTTCTGGTCAGTCTCTTGTCTAGTTGTTGTATAATGCATCCCTTCAAAACACACTGTATAGTAGTAGAGTAGTGTCTCTCTCACCAAAACTAGAGCTGTTTCCTTCAGAAATCTACTGAAAAACTGTCTACATTGGAAAGCCTTCCAGCTTAAGTGTTTTATGCTACTCTGGCCTTGGTCAGTTCTCCTTCCTCTGACACCGGCGCTTTTTTGGTGAAAGTGGGGAAATGTCATTTGTTTGATATAGTGCCTCATATGCTAATAATACTCTGTAATAACAAGACATGGGGTTGCCCACAATAAGAGCAATTGCTATGTGGATCATAGCTTGGCACTTGTGTTAGAAAGACCAGCAAGCAGTTCCCCTCCTGACTCTAAATTGGGAGCTCCCTCTGCAGACCTGTCCTGATCCTGCAGTTCCCATATAGGCAAAATGCCATTTTTGCCACTTGCTCTGTCCCCGAACATGGAAGGGTCCTGGTGTCCTCAATGGCTCCCACTGTCACTGCCGAGGGAGAGGGAGCAGCCAGAGCACACAAGGCTGTGCTTTTCTTACACATGGGAAACTGCACCTTCTCAATGTAGTGTAAGCAAAAGGGCAAGTAAGCAAGGAAACACAGCATGGGAAATAAAGGAGAAGGTTAAGTTAGACAGAAGCCCCTGGAGTGCCTGGGAACTCAGCCAGGCAGCCCCAAACACAGTGAAGAAGTTGGCAAGGAATATCCCAGGAGCAAGGCATCACATGGCCTTGATGAAATAAGAAGACAGAAAGCCCTGGAAATTACAGGTGCCCACATTCCTGCGTTGGGTGCAAGAAGCAGTGCTCCTTACCAGAGCCAAAGCAGTTTCCTGAAGATGACAGCAGTTATAGGGTAGTAAGCCAAGTGCCCTCTGTAGAAGTTTCTTCACAACTTACTAAATACCACTGAGCATAACCCTGCTGCCATCTGTTCCCTTGTAGTCCCTGCCCTGTTAGCACACGTGTCCCTGATGAAGTCTATCAGAGACCTCAAGGTGAGAAGCCCTATACAAAGATCACACTTGTTTCGGGCACGTGATGTGTAAAAAGGTAGCCAAAGAGAACAGCAAAAAGGGAGAACGGGCAATAGAAAACAAAACCAAACATGTTACGTTGTGGTATGTTTAATTGATTTCACAACCTACAGACACAACAAGACAACACCAAACTATGTGTGCAGCAGGAGTAAAAAAACCTTTTACTGAGGGATAAGAAATGACAGTAAAAAGCATCAGCAAAGATGGTTTTTGGAGGGATGCTGATGGAAAAGCTTGAGACTCAGTGTTCCGAGGGAAAGGCTTGCTTCAAGGTGAACATGACAAAAATAATCTCTTCACATTGTCTGTGGGTCCCATATTCAAAGAGGCAAGAGAACAAAGGTGAGCCATCAGGCCCAGTGCCCATATACTGCAGATCTGAATAAGCACACAGGCCCTTGAAGAGTATGCTGGGTTTTGTCCAGTGTCCTGGATTTAAAGGGTTTTTGTTGAGGTAAATTCCTAAATCTTTTCGACCCCTTGGGTCTGTAGGATGAGCATAGAGTAACCAACTATCTTGACATCTGGCATCTGGGGGAGGTGGAAAGGCAGTAACACTTCCATGGCATCCAGAGGGAGGTTCTATTAGCGTTTCAACCCTCTGGCCTCCCTCAAAGTCCAGCCCATGGTTGTAGCTGACAGCCTGGATCCTGGCTCCCCTGTTGCTCCTTGCATTGCAATAAAGGACCTTTCTGCCACAGCTATGCACCTCTGCTACCTGACACTCCACCGCACTCTCCTCCCCCACAAAGTTCCCCTTCTCCCATGTTGTCCCATGGTCAGAGCTGATGAAGCAGAAGGCATGAGGGGTGGGGTGTTGCTTGGGATCCAAGATACGATAGGCGTAGGCAGGAATCACAAGGCTCCGGGCCTCGTTGAGCAATTGTAATCCATGGCCTGGCCCCACTGCAAACGTGGCCCAGTTCTTGTACTCATTCCTAATGGTCCTGTCGGTGACATCCTGGGCAGTGCTCCAGGTGCGTCCTTGGTCCATGCTAGTGACATAGCAGAGACGTACCAGGTTGATCTTTGTCCTCAGCTGATGCTGCTCAGAGATCTTTCCTGGGACAGCTATGAAGAACAAGATGAGTTTTCCCGAGACCTCATCATATACCGGGCAAGGATTCATAGATCGGTGGTCCTCCAGCTGTGCACTGACAAGGGTCTCCATCCTTTTCCACTGCCAGGGCCCGTGGGAAGGGAGACAGGAATGGAACACACTGTTACAAAGAGACCCACATTATAGTGCAAGGATGTCTGGATAAAAGCTACAGAAGAGCACGGGAAGAACAGAAACAGGATAATGGATAGAGCAAGAAATGGGAAGACAATAATCTGGCATCACCAAAGGCAAGTGAAAATTATTTAGATGACACAAAGCATGTACACTTCACCAAGCATGTGGGTTATGTCCTTTTCAATTACTACTCCCTGAGGAACTGATAGCTCCATAACTCAATGCAGCTGGTGGCTGATGACTCCCTTTAAAAAGCTACAATGGCTGAATTTTCAGAAGTTCTCACAAATATATGTATGGCACACAGACATGCCCAGTGGTCAGAGTGTGCTAGTACAGACACTCTGCTGTGTCAATGTTTTTAGGAAGTCACACAGAAACCCGAGCCCTTTTGAATAAATCCTACATGATGACAAATCCCGTTTAATTTGGGCTCCTGTTCCTCCACTTTGATGTGAATGTATGTGAATGGGCAACCCAGCTTACACTGAGGCACCTTGCTAGGGCTGATTGCGTGGGTCTGGTGTGGAAATTTGGACCCTGAGCTGTCTGACTCAGAAAATAGGTCGCGGAGCTGGTATAACTACCCAGCAAGCCCTGTTTTCTTCAATGAATAGCACATAACACAATCATGTTTCTAACACTAGAATTGCAATTATAAAACTATGACTACATAGTGTTATTGGCTTGGTAAGCAAAGCAGTAGTTTTCAGTAAGATTATATTAATTAGCTTTTCTGCCCTGATTTGCTGATTAGCCTTTTTATTCATATCTTATCTTTTTCTATCCAACTAATATTAACTTTTATTGAAAATCTAATGTTTCCATTTTAAAAAACTAGCATGTGAACAAAAATTACTAAGTTTATGACCAACTGAACCCCACTAACTGAATTACAGGGAGTTACACAAGGTGTTACCTGAATGGTACTGCAGGTGGGCTCAGAGGCTGCTTCTGCTAGGCAGACTCCAGCTCTTAAGAGCCTATAATCTAAGGCAACCAACGAAGGTTTGGAATAGAAAAATATAATTACATTTCTTTTCCCCAAGACATTAATGCCTTTGCATATGCAAAAAATTATTATAAATAGAGTTTCCACCACCCCCAGCCACCCAGCAGCAAAACTGTTAATAATAACTGGTAGGTTAATAAGGTAGCAAATTCACTGGCACCAAAAAACCAGACACTTTTTTTTGCATGGGGAGACTAGGTATTCTTAATTGTTTATTAAACTATAAATTAGTCCTAAAATGATGAATTAAGAAACCAAAAGAATAGTCACTGATTGCTAATTTACTCCTCCCCATCGCTGGGGCATTTCTTCCTCTTCCTTGAGGCATTTCTGCCCTTCCACCACATTTTTCCTGCTACAACAGGACTTTGTCCCATCTCTCTATCTGCATCCCCAGCTCTGCAATGATGGGTCAAAGCCACCCCTAGAATATCTACTCCATTTTAGTCCCCCCAACAGCTGCCCATAGGGTCGAATCCCAGCAGTTATAACAAGACATGCATTATTTATAGGCAGATTTGTCTCCTGTACCTGGGGAAGAGAAGTTGCCCTGTCCCTACAGCGAGGGGGAAAATCCATTCAGCTCACTGGGGGCAGGAAGGCAGAGCAGGGGACAGTGTCCTTCACTGGTACCTGAACGTGCTGCGTGGCTGGGTCATACACGCCTCTGCGCATGGCTATCAGCTTGGCGTGTTCATCCACCAGGTCCTCTCGTTCCTCAGCAAAGGCCAGGATCATGCTGAACCGTGGCAGGTAGAGCAGGGCTGGAATTCGATAGCTCCAGGTACCGTTCTGGAATAATGTTTCTTGCTCCAAGACAGGGAACGCAGCCATTGTGCTAGAGGGAAGAGGACAAAGCACACTGCATTTTGACCCAGCAAAGTGTGATGGGGCAGATTCCACTGATTTTTGCTCTCTCTGCTCAGTGGGACCTGTCCTGCATTGAAACTTCCTTTCTGCTACTTTCAGCTTTGCCTTTTCCTTCTGCTTTTCCAAAGAGAACCTATGCATAGCATAGTAGCTGGAACTCAGGCAAACTTACCCCAGGAACAGCCTGGTTGGTCTGACTGGAGTGTCGCAAGGTAAGTACACCAAACAGAGTTAGTGAAAAAGCTGTGCTTTGTTGTCTTTTTAATTAAACGCACAGACTGGGTTGTTGTCTTGGTTTTGGTTGTTGGTTTTTTCTTTGTGTTTTTTTTTTTAAGTCTGTAATAAGACATTGTAGTACTTTCCCTCAGAAGACCATTAGTTTCTCTGTTCATGTTGTATCCAAAACTTGGCACAGAACTTCTGCTTTGCCAAACATGAGCTTAAAATCCCATATAAATGACACACTGAGGCAATCCCTGGCCCCAGGGGTGCCTCAGTTTGAGGATGACAAGCACTGAGCATGAATAAGAAAAGGAAAAGAGCACCCCTCCTTCTGTAAGATCAAAGAACAGTCTGAATAGTGTAGCAACACTTGGGATGGAACTTCTGACCAGGCAGAAACCTTGTCCTCTTTGCAATGATTTAATAGCAATGTTATTAAGGAAGGCAAACATGAGGGACAATTTAAAGAAGCTACCTCTGTGTAACTGCTCTGTGCTATGGCCCCATATATCCTCTCTTCCCCTTCTCAGACCTACTTGGCCCTCTGTCCTCTTGCACCAGTGAGCCAACTCACTCCAGTAAAAAAGCCAGTAGATTGAGGGAATTATATCTCAGCAGATGGGGGGAAAATAAGGGAAAAAAAAAAAAAAGGAAAAATATAAAAGGAAAAAAAAATAAAAATCTCACATGATGCACCAGAAACTGAATGCTTGGATATTCCCTGCTCAGCAGAGAAGGTGGGGAAGAAAAAAAAGAAAAAAAAATATTAAAAAAATCAAGCCTTAGATCTCTGACGCATTGAGTGGGTAGGATGGCAGGAAGAAGATGACAATACACTATGAGTAAGAAATTCAAATGCCTCCTACCTCGCTGAGGCAAGACTTGCTGTCCTCTTCGTTGAGGATTCTCCTATTTACCTAAATTTTGGAAAGTGCTATAGCAGCTACTGGACAGAGATGAGCTCCTGATGTTCTTGAAGGCTGCCTTGATGATTCAGGACCAGATATGGAGGCAGCTTCAGAGTTCTTGTACCTACCTGGAGAATGGTTTGTACTCTTCCATCTTTAAGAAGATTATATTAGCCAGCCTAACTAACATAGACTTGGTCAATAATTTTATTTTTTATAGTGTTTATTTTTGAGTTAGAAAAACACAGATAAACTGAGTTTATCCTCCAGACAAATCTGAATCACAAGGCTAGCTAGCTCACATACATAGCTAGCTAGGACCATACATTCCACTCTATCCAGATCCATTGCAGTAAGTGTTCAAATATTCCTTGCTTTCACCTTCTAGATGCTATAAATATCAATGAGAGTTTTGAACTCACAGCACTGCTCAGAAGGGCCTGAACTACACTGCTCTAGCTAAAGCCAGCTGTACAGTCCACAGCAAGCCACAGCTCCACTGCCACTCTGATCTAAAGGCATTGGAGAGAGAAGTCTATCTCCCGGGAGCAGCTGCTCCCTCGTCACTGTCACAGAAGATACAGCAGTGTGAGGAAAGGCAGCAGCACTGCTACTGTACACAGTGTTACCAGAACTGGATCACAGCTATCCATGCAATAACATGAAGGAAATAGGAAGACCTTCCCAGAACAAACAACAGTGCCGTTCGCTACTTACCAGCATGGATCTGGCTATTTATGGCTCCTGAAACAGAAACTCACCAGTGTGCTTCCAGACTATTTAAAGGGAGATTATTTAAAGGGAGATTAGTCAGCCTGTCTAGTGCAGCACAGGTTCCCTAGTGTTCCTGCTCATAATGCCATCCTGATCTTGCAGTCCTGCTTCAGAGCAGGGCAACAGGGAAGGAAAAGAAAGGTAAAAAAAACAAAGAAGAGGAAGAAAGGGAGAGAGAGAGATCTGGGCAGGCCCATGAAGCCCTTGAAGGAAAGCCAAGAAACCAGTGCCATGGGAGGCCATGCTGTACACGAGTCCCTCTCGTCTGAGCCTGTCACCTGCACACAGCTCTGCCCACGCTCTCAGCCCCTCTGTGACAAGCTCACTGTGAATGTCACAACATCTTCCACTTACTGCCAAATGGGGATAGAGGAAATAGCTGAACTGGGAATAGCTGCCATAGAAACAAGCCTGAGGCTCCTGGACACAGCAACCATAATCAAGGAAAATTCTAGAATCAAGTGACATTTCCATCTATCCAGAGACTAAACAGAGATACATGTGAGTGTGTGTGTGTATATACACTTGTACATACACTCCCTACACACAGTGTAGGTATTATGGCTGTATGCGTATATATACATGCTATGTATCCATCTGCAGAGAAACTTTTCCATCCTTTTTCAGACACACAAAGTCAGTATTCAGCTTCTTCTACTTTCTCCCTTGTGGATTCTCATGCAGAGATTGAGTCATAACAGTTTGAGTTTCACACAGAATCAAAAATGCAGGATCTTTAAATAAGCTTAAAGTTCATAATATATATATATTAAAAGAAAGCAAAATAGGGCTGCTTTGGTTACTTGTCCAGCCACCTGAAGGGAATTGATTTTTCTTTTGACCCCAAGCTGTATTCGAAGGCATGCCCACTAACTAGACCCTCCTGAATAAAAAAAAGAAGTAAAACTGGTAAATCTTTGACTGGACAGCCATATGAAGAGTGTTCCAATGCTTATACTCCAGGAGTGCAGGATTTCAAATCGCACATGCCTTCCAAGGCTACATTGCCAGGGGATGCATGTGTCCATGATGCTACTCGGTTCCTTAACCCTACTGAAATAGCACGGGCTGCCCTGTAAGGAAGAAAACAGTGCTGCAGCCAGCATACTACAAGGACATGGGCAAGACAAAGATCACAGCAATATCTTTTGAAATACTAAGAGCTATATTGGAAAAAAAAGATAAGCTTCTGGAAATACAAAGGCCTGAAACACAAGCAAGAGACTGGAGAGTTGTATATGTGAAGACAAAAAGTGCTCAGATCTGTATCAACTCAACAGCCTTGGAGAGAAGAGTTAGCCATACTTCTGTGAACTATAGGAGTAAGAAAGGGTAAGTAGATGTATTATTTTTTTTCCTAAGAGAAAAGAACATAACTGGTCACCTCTTTCTGGATGACAGAGGTCCTAGTGAGGAGAAGGGAAATTCATTGTGTAGTCATTAAGCCAATATCTCCTACTGCTTTTTAGTATTTACCCGGATCTTTAATTTATTTTCCAGGCTTATCCTTGCAAAGTGTCTTGCTCAGGGAGGCTGATGTTTACCTGCAATTCCTCTCCAAGGCACGAGGGAAGCTGCTGCACTGAGATCCAGTACCTCACCTCTGGGCAGGGCTGGGCAGACAGGGAAAGATGAGCACACTGGAAACACTAAGAGAAGGGGGAGTTAAACTGGAGGAAGCCATTACTCATCATTTGCAAGTTACACACTGTAATGATTTCCAAAGCAGAGACTGTTTCCAGCACACCAGAAGAGTCAAAAGAAATAACAGTTGTCAACAAGTGAATTTATGGTGGATTTAATGCCTGGAAGAAGCCCAGGTGGCAGTAAGGAAAAGGTGCTGGTAGACACCAGGAGAGGATACTTGTTCCTTCCACTTCTGTCCTTCAAGGCAGCTCACATGGACTTGGAGCAGGATCAACCATTGCGTGTTTATTTGCTTTAATCCTCTCCAAGAAAAGTGAGTAAAAAGCATAACATTTCCACTGGCCTCAGCTTCTGTAAAAACCTGTTCTGAACATGATTAGAACCAAGCTGAAATAACAGCATGTCTTTAAAACAAACCGTGCTTTGCATGTATTTTTTTAAAGAAAAACAAACAAATATGCTGGGTTTGATCCCTTAGTCCCTGTCAGAGAGCTCTATGCTCTGTGCAGCAGGTAGCTTGTTCTTGAGTGATTTCAGATAGGTCACAAAAGAACTATCCAACCCATTCAGAGAGACTCTGGGGGAAGAACAGTCAAAAAACGCAGAGAGACTCAAGTTCAAAACTCAACTAAAATTCTGCTTTTCAAGGCAAGCGTAAGAACCCAGGACTGGTCATTCTCTATTCAACATCAGACCTGGACTTACAGTTTTCCAAATGTGTAAAGTCAACCAAGCATTATGCCAAAACACACTCCTTGTCTCACTCAAAGGGAAATAATTTCTATTGGGATATTGCATAGTGGGGTCCCACCCAGAAATAGTCACGTTCCAGTTGTATAGGGCAAAGAAATAGAAGACCCAGTTTGCTTCTAGAGTAATTGCCACACAGTGCACTTCTGCATGGAAGTTTTCCTCCCTCCTAAGCAGCATGACTGTGCCTGTTTCTGCCGAAGCCCAGCATCAGAGCGCTCCATCTCCAACCTGCTTATCCCCTCAGACCAGACCCTACACTAAATCTAGGCTATGGAATTTCTTAACAAGCTAGGCAACACACATTATTTAGCTGGCTAAATCACCCTCAATGTAAAGTCAGAAAGATGTTATCAGCAAAAACTGTCAAACAATAAACCTTAAACAAACTAAAATATTCAGAATTTAGAAGTGAAAAAGACACAAAACTGGAATGACTTTAATCCAGCAGCCAATTGAACTAAATTTTTTAACCACACTAGAAACAAAAACTTTCTCTTGTGTTAAAAACTTAATACCACATTTACAAGGGGATTTTCCATCTCGCCAGTACATGCTTTCCTAAACAATCAGTCAGGGTCTGCTTTCAAACTGTTGTGGCTCAGCTTGGCACTAGCTCCTGTGCCTTAAAGTGGAGATTTTCTTAGCAGGAGAGAGGAATTACATGAAGCAGCAGTATTTTTCTTAAAATATATTTGGTGGAGGAACCCACAAACTGCATTCCCTATTTCAACCTACAAAACGTTGTATTTACCTTTTTAGTTCCTAGCAATGTCCACAGTTATGAAAAGAAAAGAAAAATAAAAAGAAAAGGAAAAAAATACCTTTTTTATTCTGTGTCTTCTGGAAGTCACGTCAAAAGGAAAGAATCAGAACCAAAAAGAACTCCTATTGAATTAGACAAAAGGGATGCTCACCACGCTCTTACTAGTCTCCAACCTGCAAAATTGTTTATGTTGGCAGCAATGTCAGCCGTCTTAGATCCCCAGGAAAAGCTATCAGCTGGCATATAAACACAAGCTTACATTTAAATAGCAAACCTGTTTTGCATATAAGGGGTGGTTCTATGTGAGCCAGACAAACAATAGGGAAATACTTTTACATTATACTAGTAATTAAGCAGCTTATTTCTACCTGCATGGGTTGGCACACTGTGGCACAGCTGCTTGTTCTATACAGTTCAGCATGCTGTCTTATTTCTTGGTGTTCTACTCCCCTGGTGCTGAGGAAGGCAAAGTTCCTCTGGTTGCAGCATGTAGACTCCCAATGCTTTCTCTCAGAGTACTGAGCTCTGGGAAAGTTTGCCTGAAGAATCCACAAAATTGTTATAACCAACAGGTGATGCTGCTGTCATAATCTAACACTCTGGCTCCACACACCTCGAATCCATCAACATGTTCTTTCTGGATAAGAAATGGGTTAACACCAAAAGTTCCCAGGCAGGAATGCAGGAATGACATGCTGATACATTCAGGTGCAGCTCCCAGAGCCTCTTTGGAAGTGTTCTGAGGCCAAACTATCCCAGCAACTGCAGGCAAGGAGCTACTGGGGAGAATCAAGCTGGGAAACGGAGGAGAGTACAAGACTAAGGTCACACCAGAGGAAGAAAGGGATGGCAGCACCCCTTCTCCCAGCTGTGCCCGGCTGGCTGAGAGGCAGCACCTGCAGCTGCTGCAAGTACCCAAGCAAGTAATTTCACAGCTACATTGTGCTACTGCTGTCATCTCTGACAGCAGTATCCCATTTCTTGCTGCATCCCTTGCTTTCCCCTTTTCTACTGAGTTTCCATTGTTGCCATTAACACTTCTTGTCTTTGAAGTGATCTGAAAGAATGAGAACAATAATCCCGTGAAAAGATCTTGATAGTCATGGAAAAAAGGGTAAGAAAAGTATCCTCCTTTGATGGCAGTTGTGGTTGATCTGTGCAAGCCAAATAGGAAGCTGCAAAGGAGTGGATTTACAACCAATCAGCTGACCAACCAAATTAAGGTAATGCTTCTGTATTACTCTGTTTCTCTTGAGCAACTCTGTTGTATGCTTTCCTGTGCCAGCAGGAATGCTCATCTTACCTTGGCAAGCCATCAGAGGATATCAGACTGGCAGAAAACTAATCCAGAAAAAAAAAAAAGTGAACAGTTTCTGCCAGGTCATTGTCCTGGACTGCATCAGCAAGAGCCCATCAAGCAGCAGAATCTGCACTTGGAGCAGGAGCATGAAGCTGCTGACAGGAGGAGCAGAGTCACCACCCAGACTAGCACTTAGCCATTGGATCTGCATTGTAAAACCACACCCCTTGTTTACGAACCTTGCCTAACTGGGCAAGTAAAGTACAGCCTTAATTGGGGCACAGGAGAGAAGACTGAAGGCATTTGTATCTCACCTGGAATCAAACAACAGTGTGAGGAAAAGTCCCTCCAGAGACAATGTCAATGGTATCCTCCAGACACTAACTTTTAACAGTGGCTCCTGGAGAAAATCCAGAGTCAAGTAAAGCAGAAGCAATTAATGGAGGAGGAAAAACATTGAAGAGGCTGCTAAGGTGCAGTCTGCCAGAAAGTGAGACATAAATGACTGCTTTATGGATTTCTTCACCTTTTTTCTTCTCCCTGGCTAGCAGCAGTGTTATTCAGGTGATTTTCTGAGTCACACACTTGGCTTCTGCAGCCAGACAACCCATAAATACTCATTTGTTTAATAAAAATCACCTTTCCCAGCTGCAGTATAAAACTGGTTGTCCATCTTCTGAGTGGAAGTCCCAAGTGTGGCTTGGTGTGGTGGCAGTGGTTCCATGGGCTATGATGGCGGCATAAATATGGCAGAGTAGCTCTGCCTCTAGCCACCTTCCACCTCCCCTTATCATCTGTTCCTCTCTAATTAAGATTCCACACATTCCCCTGCAGCCAGCAGGGGTGCCCCACTTTTGACCCACTCCCCAGAACCAGTCAGTGTCAGACATGTCTGTGCAGAAGCCAGCAGGCTAGAAAGGCTAAATCTACTCCTAAAATGAAGGATGTGATGCTTAGTCCTGCAGTGAGGTTAAAATGAGTGAATCCCAGTGCCTGTGCAGGACAGTCCCACAATTAACATGCAGGCACCCCACACTGCTTCCCTGCAGCCACCAACACCGCTACCAGCATCCAGGCTCCAGCACTGCTCTTCAGCCTCCAGCCCACAACACAGACCTACCTCTATTTGCAAAACCCCTTCCTTCAGATAAAAGTGCTTTTCCCAAACAACATGTTGTGTTCTGAAACTATTTTACAAAACTGTTCCTTATTAACTATCAAAAATGGATGTCCCACTGTAGACATGCATAGCCTGATCCTCCCTCTTTCCTTTCAGTGTAAATCAAAATCAGTGTCACCACTGAAGTTTAAAAGAGGCTTAGGTCTGAGTAGGATCAAAATCTTCCTTTCTATTGTTCCACACTTACTTCATTGCCCTTATATCTGATTGTTGTAATGAAAACGTTTTTAAAAAGGTTAAAAAATGCAAATAGGGTGTGTGGGTGCATTAATAAGAGGATATAAAAATAATGCAGAAGATAATATAATGGCAGAATCCCTAACAATGGAGCATTTGAATTTGGAGGACCGTGTTCAGTTTTGGGTGCCACGTCTTAGGAAAGATTCAGCAATAGCTGCAAATGGAGGCTGAGGAAAAGAAGTCAGAAGCTAACGTTCCTGAGTGTATGTGAAAAGAAACTAGCAGGAAAAAAAGAGATGGCACATCTAGTGAGTGACATGCAGTCCATTAAAATTTTTCAATGTATATTTCCCTTGCAAAATGCTCAAACCTGACTCCATTGATTCCCAACATCATTAGAAAGGCAAGGGTGGCTCAGGTAATTCAGTATTTTTGCTCTGCTGTACAATGTAGCTGCTGTTGTCAGGCAGTTGTAGTTCAAATCAGGTCTGTGGGGTCAGATCATGTGAAGCAGCAATTACACAGTACTGCAAATTATAAGTTAAAACATTATGTGCTGCTTTCCAGGCATTGGGGAACATGGTATCATTGCTGCAGAAGATAAATCTTATAGACCTGGGCTTTGACTAAAAGTCTGTTCTGGCTGGGAAGGAAAAAAAAGACAAGCAAGAAAAAGCCAAAGTAATAATGATTATGAAAGTAACAAGCAAATGCTTGTAAATGCTGCTAATGGCAGAGCATTGTGGGAAACAGGGTCCACTGGATGAGAAGACATCCACTGTTTTCTTTTAATACTAATTCTAGTTAGGGAAAAGAGCCTCCGAGCACATTTGAGACCAGCACCCCACTATCCTTATCAACATCCTTAGGTGTAACAGGCATGAGGAGGAGGTTCTCTTTGGGTTTGTACTCTTTCACACTCCACTGACTCCACTTACATTACTTTTGATTTCCATCAGGAGGAGTAAGCACAGAATCCTGCTGCTGCTGCCTCTCTCACAGCAAATACAATTTATTTCCTCACCTCGTGGAAAAAATGGGACAAAATCAAAAAAATATTCCCTTAACTCAAAGGGCAACAGTATTACCCCATAGCAGACCTGTAAGCCTTCTGGCACACCATGATGAGTCATGGGTTTGTCACAGGCAAGCTTCCTCACCCTATGAGAGACAACACCCAATAAACAGCCTGCCTATTATACACATTACACCATTTCCCCATTTACGTTGCCCAAAAAAGAAAATACTCTTTATTTTTGTTAATGGCACAATCTATGGGAAGCAAAGGAAGAGAGGTGGTGAGGTTTGAATACAAAAAGAGAATTGTAGAAGCAGGATTTATTTAGCCCTAAAAAAAAAAACCAAAAAACCAAAAAAAAACCGAACCAACACCCCACTGAGAAGGAGTTACTGCAGCAATTTAATGACTGGAAAATGTAATAAAAGCATAGTTCCTTGCTTCATGTACTCTGCAGTGCTTGGACACCCAGATAAGCAAGTCTGAAGCACAAGCCTAGCTAGATTCACCCTGGACAACTCTTGCAACAGAGAGGAGCCCAAATTCCGCTGCATCCCTCATTCCTGTGTCCTGCCAGCTCTCAGACCAGGAGTGCACAGGCCTGATGGTGACCTTGATTAATCATTACAGGATTAATTGTTGGCAGCCCTCTATGCCCAGGCCAGGCCTTCAGCTGGTATAAAGGAACACTGACACTGGTGATCATGATTCTATGATGTCTGAACTCAGATTAACCCAATCTTAACTCAGTGAACATCTTTCATGGAGTAGGCTGGGCATACAGCTGCATTTTAAAAAGAGTAATGTTGTGACCAATTAAAATATTTTGAAATGAACAAGACAATTGGCAAGTTCAGTGAACTTCAAGAAGGAAATAAAAACCAAAGAAAATATTAGCAAATCAAATTCAGCAGGCTATGTGATGTTTTTCTAAGAGTCAATCCAGATGCAGTCTTGAAAATACAGAGCGAGTTATCCGAGGATGAGGGGAAAATTCTCTGCTAGGTATAGCACTGATCTAAGCAATGGCTATTATTTGTCTTCCTTTGAAGCACTGGGCCTAAGTTGCCCCCAGAAGAGAGACATTCAAATCATAGCAAGAAAGTAGCCTGGTAATAAGGTAAAATATTTTAAGAGGGAAAATTATCACAGGCATTTGAACTGATCCAAAAAGCCTTCAAATAAAGCCAGGCTGGCTCTGCTATATCCACCCCAGCGCCCAGGTATGTGAACACACATGAAATTAAGAAATGGCAATCTAAAAATAGTCATAAACATGTAGGTCTTTTCATCTCAAATGGCTGTAAATAATGTAAAGCAAGAGCAGTTTCCCCACCAGTGGGCCTTAAAAATGGAAGCAAATACTATTTACCATTTCCACTTGAGTTTGCAGATTTGGACTGAAGTTTCGCCCAGTTGTTAAAGATTTATACGGGAGGTTTAACAATCCCCTGTCATTAAGCCTCGGCACAAGCAGTGCAAAGGACGTTCAGGGCATATTTGTACTAACTTATCTGGGTAAAGAGAAAGCTGTTCCTTTAAACTGTGTTTGCTGTGACTCTGGAAACTGAGCAAACAAAATCAGAGGGACACTTTACTCTCAAGCAGAACTGACAGGAATGTAGAAGGACTGAAGGACAGCACACTTCTGTAGGACATACCTGTCTCTGGATTCACAACTGAATTGCAAATCCCTAACTGTTTGGGAGAGTTTAATTCAGACTTTTTGGATGTACCTCATCT